TTGTGGATACTATGTGATGAAAAATATGTTAGATATTGTCTCTGCTAATATAACCAAGAATTGGATGCAGATACTAAAAATAACTTTACTTTGTTATTTACTTTTTGTTTTTCGACTTAATATGAATTTTTTAAAAATAACTCTATATTGTTATATTTATGTATTATAGGTATTTGATGACCCAACAGAATTAACGCCAGATGATTTGTATGATTTGCGACTTCGTTGGGCAAAATGTTTCTTTGAGTTACATGGAACTTAAGTTTATCTTGGTGAGTTTTATAGAATTGTATAAGTTGTGGTTTTTGCACAATACATGTGGTTTTTGCTCATGTGTTGAGTTTCTTGATTTTTTTTGCTGATGTTAATTGTTATTATTTATTGTCAGGCAATATGATTTTGGTGTTGTCTACCGAAGATTTTATATTGGTAATTCAAGTTTGGAAACTTAGAAATAGTTGAATATTTTTGTATATGTATATTTTGTGAATATTATGTAATTGTAAGTTTTGAAAAAGACTTATAAATAGTTGAATATTGTTTTATATTTTTTGAAGGATTTGTAATTGTAAGTTTGTATGTTGTAATACAATACAAGTTTGCAATACAATTGTTCAATTTGTAAGTTTGTTGTGAAAAATATGAAAACATCGACCTAAATGTGATATATGTGATGTTGGAAAGCTATGAAATCTATATAGTGACATAAATATAGTCTGTTTGATATTGGAAAAATATGAAAAAATGGGTACAAATTATATTTGTATAGGGAAACCCAGAAAATAAATAATCTATTCCAAAAAAATTTCATACATTTTACATCGGTTATTAGTAAAAACTGATGTAAAAACTTTCAAAAAGGGACTTTTTACATCGGTTGGGGATAATAACCGATGTAAAAAGTCGCGTCACTGGGGACTTTTTACATCGGGTATTACTTCCAACTGATATAAAAAACTGGATCAATTTTTTTAAAAAATGTGCATAATAATTGTTTCTTACATTGGTTCATATATTAAAACCGATGTAAAAAAGGGACTTTTTACATCGGGTATTACTTCCAACCAATGTAAGAAACTGGATCAATTTTTTAAAAAATGTGCATAATAACAGGTTATTACATCGGTTCTGATATTATAACTGATGTAAAAAAGGGACTTTTTACATCGGTTCTATAAAAAGTCCCTGATTTACTATATCGTCTGACTTTACATCGGACCCAAAACCGATGTAAAAAGTCAATTTCACCCGATGTAAAAAGTCATTTCTGCACTAGTGTTTACACAACTGTTAGAGGCCTCACTTCAAGCATTTAATGCAAGGCCAAGCTTTATATACATTTTTGGAAGAAATGTCACATTGCCATTTTGATAAAGTGACTTTTTATACAAAACTTGTTGTTGAGCCTTGAACTTGTTCTCTTCTGATAAAACAAGTCCTATAACTCATGATAAATGTTTCAAACACTTACAATCACTCATCCCATGCTTGTACCTCTTCTTGAAACTTGTTTCCCTCTTTTCTTCAAAATCAAGCAACCTAGCCAAAAGCTAGGAACTTGTACTTTTGATTGTCCAAAGCTCTCAAACAATTTTTTTTATACATAAACAAACCTTAGACCACAAACACACGAATGCTCAAGCCTTGAAAGAACCTAGAACTCATAATCACACCTCACACTTCCATTTTTACACAAACTGGCCAAAAACTTGAAACTCATAATCTATTCGTGCATTTCTTGGCATTTTGTTTTCTAAAGTATCTAAGCATCATATAGAGTTGATCCCACACCCTGTTATAGAACTGTAACACCATCCTCCATTTCCAAAAACAGAGCTTTGCACATTGGCTTATCCAAACCATTTCAGCCATCCATTGCTCAAGCTAATCATTGCATTAGCTTCCTGGGACCTCAAGGAAGCTAACATGATCATCACCATCACTTGAAACAAGCTCAAACTCAAAACAGGATTTCCATTTTTGAAGTAAGTTTTCTAACTTTGGAACTCTTCATACAGGCATCATCAATTATTTATTTGTGAACAAAACATGTAGATATCATTGCCCTAAAGCTAACCATGTTCATAGTTTCCATTAATTTTGCTTGAGCTTAGAGAATTTTGAAACTGAAATTTCTGATATTTTTAGGGTTCAGATTAGGGCCATTAAAGTTCATGCTTATCTTTGATTTATAGTTTTAATGCTTTACATTTCTGAAACCGTGAGAAAGTTTTCTACAAGTTTAATGTTTACAGTTTTTATTTTTGCTGAGAAATGCGTAAGTTACAGTTGGTTTGGCTGGAGGTTGAAGATGAAGTCATCAGGGCGCGTTTTGACTTGTATATTTATTGATTTGTCTATGTTAACGGATGTATAGCCACCCCAGTGGTAGAAGCGCGCGCCTATAACCTTTGGGACCTGGGTTCGAGCCCCAGTGGTACCCTTTTGGATTTTTCACATTTTTTTGTTTTCTAATTTGTCTTTTTGGTAGGCGCTGGGCCTGGCTTGTTTTTTATTTTTGCTAACTAACCCCCTACAGGCTGTTTGCGCCCTTGGCCCAAGTTTATTTATTTTTCCTTTTTTTTTATTTTGATTTATTTCATTTTTATTTCTTAATTATTTTTCCTAATATTAAAAAAATACAAAAAAATAGATTTTCATTTTAACTTAGTTAATTTTATTTTTCTCATAAAAAATATTTTATTCAACTTTACTTTATTTATTTTTATTAACTAGTCTTTTAAATTTAAATTAAAATACTATGGTTTTATTTATTCCCTCTCACACCAATTAAAATATTTTATTTTTGATATGAAAAAAAGACTAAAAATATTTTATAATACTATAAATATTTTCAAGACAAAAATACCAAAAACACTTTTCTTATAAAACTTAATTTCTTTTTTTTAATTAATAGATTTAGGGTTTTGCTCAAAAATATTTTCTTAGCAAATTAGGGTTTACTTTTCATTAATTATTTTTCTTTTAATTAATTATATTAAGATAAAATCCCTTTTTTTCTAAACAATCCAAACAAATATCTATTTACTTCACATTTTGCATTTCTGTACATTTATTCATTTTGTAAATTGTATCCATTTAAATTCCTTGTAAATTGATACCAATTCAATATGGTTGTAATAGACTAATTAGGTTTAAAATTCTTGCAATCTCCATTCAATTTATACACCCCTCCCCACAAATGTTGTAATAACGTAGTAACTTTAAATTCCGCAATTTATCGCTTTTATATATAACATGCTAGTAATTAGGATTTGTATGGAAAGACTAAAACCAATACTTAGAAAAATCCTAATTCAAGACAAAATCAAGCATGAAAAAATACACTTGCACAGAAGCACCCCTAGGGTTATTCCACTTGGTTGCCTTATACAAAATGGTCATATTACATATGTAAGGTATCTTAGCAAAAACAAGCAAATACAAGATCATAGTCCCTCGATGATGCTATCTAAGTTGCCTTTAAAATGATCTTAGTCCCTAAAAAAGAATGCTAAGATATCTTGCAACATTTCTAATCATGGTTATACGATGACCCACATCCGTCCCGTTTACATCCAAAGATAAGGTTACTTACCAAATCAATGGTAAGATAACAATGTCAAAGGAAAAGGAAAAGGAACAAGAAAGACTTTTGAGTAGGTAGAATGCTCCTAATTACTTTCTCAATTTCAAAACAAAACATCCTTGCTATTTTCAAAAACAAACACCAGCACTTTCAAAACATCTTACAAACTTGAAAATATTTTCCAAAGATCAAACATCTTTGTATACATTCTTACAAACAAGAATCATTACAAAGATTGCCTAAACAATGGCCTTTTTACAAAATACTTTCGAAAACCACATAAAGCACAATTTCAAATAAAAGAAAGTGATCTAGTAAGTAACTAAGAGCCCATGGAAAACCATGGATGAAAAGGGTGCTAATACCTTCCCTTTTCATAATCTACCCCCGAATTCAAGAAATAATCTCAAAGGTCTTTCCTGTGCTTTTTCACCTTTCCTTTTGGATAAAATAAATGTCAATGGCGACTCTTGCTAACTGCAACATTTGCGATCAAACGCAAAACCTTCAAGTCAGTTCTCCCATCGTATCACAATGTCAATTAAAAAATTGTGCTAATTTAATTTCATAATAATATATTTAATTATCTCGAGGATTTTCTGTTGAAAATTATAATTGATATTATCTTTGTTGCTAATATCTTTAAACTCTAAACCTCTTCATTCTGACATATACCTTTCTTTATCCTTTTCCAAGTCACAAACTTGAGATTTTAATTTTTGCAACTCTTCCATCACTTGTTTATTGCTAAGAATTTTACTTTTTCGTTGCTTACCTAAGGATGTTGGAGTGATCCAAAATCCCTTATCCCTCACACGACCGGAATACTCATGAACATTTAATACTCGACTTAGTAAGCTCCTCCAATCATGGTCTTCATCTAGAGATAAAGACTGAGACAGATTCCCCTAAAATTCATATGCATATCAAAAAAGGTTTAAAGTGATTAAAAATCATAAATATTATATGTTAATAAACTTTAGATTTAATTACAAAAATATTGTTATGCTTACACATTGCTCAAAAACTTGTTGTACATCTTTCTTAACAACTCCATCCTTACCCACACGAGCAGCCTTCCACTAAACATGTGCCAGAAGAGATGTTTCTTCATTTTTCTCTTCTTCTAACTACATATTAAGGAAAATAATAAGATAATTTATAACACATGATGAACAAGTATATCATAGCATTTACGTCACTCAATTCCTGGAATTCCGAGGTTCTTTTCTTGGCTTTAAAAGTTTCCCATTCTTCAGGTGAAATCTAGTTTTCGTATGTATCTGGAAGTTCCGCTTCAATAAAATTTCCTTCGACATATTTAAGATACTTGTTTGTTAAAAAATCTCAAAACCCTCTGTGTCTTTTTTCAGCCAATTGAAGACAATATGTTTTTCAGTCACCATCAATGTTAAAAGTCCTCAACGAAAAAAACATACATAGAGTGTGTCAGTATAAATAATTTAAAGACATAATCGTCAACAAAAATAAATAACATCCCATATTGTACATATATCTCACTCCATATTTTGTCTTTAGCGGGTCTCAACTCTCGATTTCCCCAATTATCATAAGTGATTAAAATTTCCCTCCTTACAAGGGAACCAATGTAACTTACCAACATTGAATCGTTAGAATTAATTAGTTGGTTTTCTTGATTCCAATGTATGTCATATTTTATTCCTTTATCTCTTACACGAATGATACTCTTCATAATAGTTATTCCTCGTGTAATTTCATTTTGCACATCATGAACTATTTCATCTCCATCATTATTAGAAACATCATGTGAGTTTTCCTTGTTACTAGCCATTTGACCTGTAATAAAGAAAACATAAACACAATATAAAATTCTATAATCCATTGAATATATAAAATGAAAAATATATAATTTTATTCAATGACAGAATATATAATTTATTGAATGAAAAAACATTTATTTTTTTAAATGACATAATATATAACATTTTACTAGTACGTTTTCACTAACATCTCTTTCTTTTCTCGGTTGGAACATGAATTACTTGTCTCTTAACAACGCGGACATATGGATTGATCCAAATTCCCTCATTATGATCGTTTCTAATATATGATTCATTCGCTATAATATTCTCATCTTGATTATTTCTAATATACGATTCATTCCCTCTAATATATGAATCATTCTCAACATCAATATCACCTTGATCTACATTGTTATCATCAATCACTTTGTTAGATAAAAGCACTATAGACCATTTCATAATTTTCAGATCAGTGACATATAACACTTGTTTAGCTTTAGAAACTAGAATAAAAGGCTCATCTTTGTACCCCATCCTATTAAGATCCACTTGCAAAAATCCTGACTTATCCATTCGTATGCCACTATTATGTACCCACTTGCAATCAAAGATAGAATCTAAAACGTCTCATAATCAAACACCCAAATGTATTGCTTCAGCTTCCACGGTGACACCACTATTTTGCATAGTACTTTTATCATATTGTTCTTTGGTATAAAATTTGTATCCATTAATCGCATATCCGCTATAAGAAAACACATTTAAACTTGAATCATATGCTAAACATCTCAACCTTTCTGTTATTGAAGCGGGATCTAAATAAAACTTTGAATGAATATGATCCTGAAACCTTGGTATAAAACTCAGATTGTGCTCTCGTACTATCCAATTTTCATTTCTATTAGGATTTAAACTTCAGAGTACATCCTTGTGCATTTCAACATACGGCTCAACCTCATTGTCGTTGTGCAGAACATACAAATACACTTGATCCCGTTCAGCCCTTGATAGTGTCACAGTTTTATTTTCAATTAACTTTTTCCTTCTTTTTTAAAAAAAAAAATGAGATTTAGGGAGTCCAATGGATTGAACATTGGACAAATATTCAGTACAAAACTCAATCGCTTCTTCAACAATGTATCATTCAACAATAGAACTCTCTGGACAACTTAGGTTTTTCACATACCTTTTAAATGTTTTCGTATAATGTTCAGCAAGGTACATCCATCTCATATAAGTTGGTCCACACATTTGTGTCTCTTTCACAAGATGAACAACTAGATGTACCATTTTGTCAAAAAATGAGGAAGGGAAATACGTTTCAAGATCAACAAAGTAATAACTATTTCTTTTTGCAATGTTAGTAAGATCTCAGGATCGATCACCTTACTACAAATTGACTTGAAGAAAAAACACAGTTTAGTTATGGCGCTTCTTAATTTTTCTAGAAAAATAGAACGTATACCTATTGGTAGAAAATGTTCCATTATAACGAGGCAATCATGTGTCTTTAAACTCTTTAACTTGAGGTCTTCCATAGACATAAGTCTTCTAATATCTGAAGAGTATCCTTCTGGAAGTTTAACTTCACTTAGAAACTTACACAATATTTTTTCTCCTTTCTAGATAAAGTATAAGCAGCAGGTGGTAGATATATTTGTCGCGTCTGGGATTTTCATCAAAGTGTGAATGGTGGCGAAAGGACATGATAGTTGACATCAATGTTATTTATCGCAAGAGAGGGAAAGGAAACATTGAGTAAACCTGGAGGAAGTAAAAGAACATGGTCTCATGACCAAGAGAATCAGGGTAAGGAAGTCGATTACGCAAAGGGAAGGTATTAGCACTCGTCACATTTGTGGTATTCTACATGATCCACTTATGTTTGTTCTATTCTAAGGGTATGTCTAATCTAAGTCTAAAGCTTACGAGCTAAAAAGAAAAATGCAAAGAGGGAATGCATGCAAAAGAAAACATGGGAGAAAAGAAGGAAATATATTACAAAGTTTTACTCGGCTGAGCCCCGCGACCAGATGCATATGTATCCCTTTTAAGGAATCTGAGCGTCATAGTTCGGCTCAATAGTTTTCGTTTGTTGTGTATTTTTTTTAGACGATGGTAGTGAAGCATGTCCTTTTTGAAAAGGTTTTAAAAAGAAAAAGTACTAAGACAAAAATGTTTGCATTGCTTTATATTTTTTACCTTGAAAAGGGATTTGAGATTTGAACCACACCATAGACTAAGAATAGAAGAACGATAAGATCGAGAAGAAACCCGCTTATCATTTCCCATACTTAGTAAAAAGTGTAATTCTCACCATTTATTATTAAGTGTTTTGAGAGTTTGAAAATAAAAAAAAAAATTTGTTTTAATGAGATGCAAAAGAAGAAAGAAAAAGTCTAAGGGGAGACTAGCAAAAGATTCCTAAAGTTATCATGCAATATTGGTCCTATAGTTGGGATAAGAGGGAAACATCTACCTAATGTTGTCATGCATGGATAAAGATCCTAAGGTCTATTTAGTTCAAAATTAGAGAAAGAGTGAACTAAAGATCATATGGGGAACATGGCAATCTCACAAAAGAGAGTAAAAAGAAGAAGCAAGTAAAAGCAAATATCACAAGTATAAGTGCAATAGGGTAGGTACCTAAGCATATAAGAAGATATGATAAGACATCAAGTAACAAACATAGAAAGGATGATAAAACATCAAGATGAAAGAGGGATGATAAAACATCAATCAAGGATGATAAAAAATCAAGCACATACAACCATGTGACAAAACACATAAGAGGGGAGAAGATAAGACATCACATAAAGATGATAAAACATCAAGAAGGGAGATGATAAAACATCAAGTATGGATGACAAAACATCAAGTATGGGTGGAAAAAAATCATGTAAGAGATGGCAAAACATCATATAATATATGACAAAACATCATACAAGTAAGATGATAACACATCAACAAACACAAAAGACATGGTGATAAAACACATAAGAGATGAAGATCTCACGAACAAACTTAAAGAAGTGAAGAAGAAGCAAGAAGGAAAATATAAGAAATCAAAAGGAATGTCATAAAAACAAATAAAGATATCATCTAAGTTCATACCCTATCATGTTAAACACCTTAGACTATCCTAAGCGTGGCAACAAAGGTTAAGAAGAATGAACTATTACCTAATTAGGCAAGTAGAAGTGCAAGTGTGCATTTAGAAGACAAAACTTAAATACATGACAAAAAATCAAACAAGTAGACATCAATAGGTTGACACCTAAGTCTAAAAATGGTTTAGGACCTCTAATACCCTTAGGTTATCTCTACCTATGTTAGCATGCATGGATTACGATCCTAATATCTAACTTGCATCGGGAAAGAAACAAGTGAATCCTACGGGAACATGCAAAGGTTCAAAACCTAAGGGAATATGGAATATACAAGGATGAAAAGCAAACAAGCAATCAACAAGCTCAAGAGAGCACACACATGTCATGAGTAGTACACACTAGCTCAAGTCAAAAGTCCTAACCAAGATATCGAATCATCGAGGTAGGTAAAAGGGGGAAAGTTCCTGACCATAGATATCTCATCTAGGCAAGAAGGGGTCGTGAAAGCTACTCTTAACCAAGGTATCATGTCACCAAGGAAAGAAATATATAGTAGGGGAAGTGAATCTCCAAGGCAAATAAACACCTAACCAAGATATAAAGAATCGAGGTAGGAGATAAAAGACAATATGAACAAGCACATAGCATCAGCATCGTCCGACGTGATCTCAAGAAAAAATATGGGGGATTGGTTAGAGATCCATGTATTCCACTTGACTGACTCAATAACAGGAGTAGCACGATTTGAAGCATCAACGCACGATGCAAGCTACGAATGACACTTCTAGAAATTGCAAGGTGGACTGTGGACCCTCTGCTTGCCTTGCCTCCTTTTAAGGACTTATCAATGGGGAATGGGAATGGGACGCCTTCATCGAGATCTTTGGGAACAAATGTAAATATGCAGAATGCCTACTTCGAAGTAGATCTTTAAAGAACCAGAAACACAATTAACAAACAAGTGCAGAGTTCCTTCTAAAGGACTTTAAACAACGACTTCGAGCATAATCTCTTTATTATCCTACTTCTCATGATATCTAGAAAGCGGTAAAATGTAGAAAGATAAACCGGAATCAGAATGATACCAAACGCACAAGATTTCATAGCAAAGCGAGAAAAGTAGAGAAACCCAGAAAACTTCGAGCAAGCTTCACCAATAAAGCAAATAAGTTAGAAATTGAATGCTCTTAATAACTTTTGAAGCATCATCGATGTGAAAAAAAATCACAATCGGAAACTCAAGCATATCCGCATATCACAGAATAAACCTGCATAAGACTCAAATCTCGACAAGCAAAGGTGAATCACAAGTCTTGAATAATCGAATAATCATGAATCAATTCCTAAAATCAAATAAAAAATCTAACAAATTTTTATTGATTTTATAATTTTTTATCATAAAAAATATAGAAAAAAACTAAGAAAAAAGTCCTAAATCTTAATAAGAAAATATGAGGATCAATGGGGGTGTGAGCTGGATTCAAGAGGGTCTAGTATAGTAAACAACTCTTGGCCCAAGGCCTAAGCTGACTAAGTCCATTAGAAGGCTTTTTTGGGGTGCTTTTTTGTTTGTGTATCAGGCTTTCACAAATAAAAAACAGGTGAGTTGAGCTTAAGGGAAGCAGATTTTGGTCTCATTCAAATAGTATCCACTCCCAAAAACATTCAACAATTCCTTTTTTATTAATAGTAATGATAAAAAAAAAGAAATATTATGATGCAGATAACAATTTCGTTTTGGTAGAGAAGGACTAGGGTTAAGAGAAATGTCTTTCTAGATTTTCAAGAAACGATATCCTCTTCTTCTTCGTTCAAATCGCGGTGGCCCCAACCTATTTCTATCATTTATTCCAATCTCTACTTTCCCTACTTCGTCTCATCTTCGATCTTCAGCAGCGGCTTCCTCTCATCTTCTATGATATGCACCTTTGACGACACAACTTTCTCACTCGTCATCTTCTCTGCCATTCCCCCCACCGCTGATCCATTACTTGATTCCAACATTCTCACCTTGTTCCCACATCTCCGAAGTCTATATGCCTAAGAATCTACATCGTGAGATCGGTACGCGATAGATACGTGCTTCAAGCTTACATAGAAAGAGTTTGAGTGTTTACCTGCCTGAGACAGTCTGGCTCATCCTCGTTCAGGTATGCATCTTCTCCTTCACTTCGTCTCTTCTTCTTCTCATTCTTCAGATTCTGTGATCTTTGCTTTACTTTTCCTCTCATATCTCAATTTGTCATGTTTCTATTGCAAGGTGTTGTTGTTGGAAAATTATTCTTTGAATATGGTGAAGATTAAAGAAAAATGAAGATTGGAGCGTCGAAGTTGACAATGATTGAAGTAGATTGAGAAGATGGTGCTGAGGCGATGATAAAGTGGACAAGAACCAGATGAAGATTGAAACAAGCTTTTGCAGCTTGATGAAGATGATCGAAGAGAGAGAGAGAGAGAGAGAGAGAGAGAGAGAGAGAGAGAGAGAGAGAGAGAGAGAGAGAGAGAGAGAGAGAGAGAGAGAGAGAGAGAGAGAGAGAGAGAGAGAGAGAGAGAGAGAGAGAGAGAGTTATGTGTTGAAGACGAGGGAGAGTTTTTTTGGAGTTTCTGTGTGATTCTTCTGCAAAGATTGAAGAATGAAGCAGAGAGAGAGAGAGAGAGAACTTTCAGATATTTGCTAGTAGTGATTCTTCTATGAATTGAAGAATGAATCGATTCTGGTGAGTTTTTCAATTTACGTAGTTTATGTTAGATCTGAAAGTTAGTTACAACTTAATTAAATCTTGGCCTTTGAATGCTTGAGTTTGTTACCAAAATAGATGGCTAGGATTGAATCTGATTTCTGAGACTTTCTCCGCAAGTTTGTTATTCTGATATTTCAATGCTAAGCTGGATTTTCTATTATTCTCCAAAAAAATTGTTTTCACGGTTTGCATATTATTTCCATCTAAGACACTTCATTCTCATTTTCTGAGCTGGCTTTATTTCCTGATATTTTCCTCTATTTTTGTCTTATTAAAAATGATGAGTTAGTATATTTGGCATGGTTTTTCTGTTTTAATCATTGTGGTTTTGGTTATTTTCAACTTTCTCCCTTTAGAACTCAATAATAAAAAAGAATGACCATGGTTGTTGGATTGTGAAGTGGAATGTGAACGAATATCCTTTTCTTTGGACTTTTTTGCAGGTTTTGGAACTGGTGCACAGTCAGTATGGTTTGCAGGGTAATTTTGATGGTTACTTTGGATGTGGTTTGGAGACAAGCTTAAATGTGGTGCAGTTTGAGTATGTTGTTGGAACCGGGCAGTAAGTTTGTGATGGTTTATGGATTTGGACCTAATTTTTTTAAATTCTTTTGTACATGGTTGTTCTTGGTGGAGTTTTTAGCATAGGTTTAGGAACTTTTCATGTAGCTTTTCTTTTTGTATTTATGCTACAGATTTAATCTTTCCATGTTCTGGTTTGTACAACTTAGACAGGGTGCCTTTAAAACGTGACATGAAGCAAGGCTTTTGAGCCTTATTTGGACGAAGGATGCAGTGGCTCTTCTTTTTTTGCATGGCATGAAGAAGGTCAACTTATGAGAATGAATTGGTAAAGATGGGAGCATGAGGAATGGCAGCCACTAGGTTCAGGATAAGGCATAGGTTTGTGTACGATTTCTTGATGTAATTGGACTTTGTTGTAATGTAACTTAGAAACATGTAACTTTGGTCCAAAAAAAATTGTAATAGGTGCATTCTAATTATGTAAAGACCTTAAACAAGTAATGAAAATGTTTCTTTACAAATAAGATTGAATTTCTTTCTCCCTCCAAATTTCTCTATTCAAATTCTCAACTCTTGATGAATGGTAAGTGGACCTCAAAATTGATAACTTGAACTTGGAATCCTGATTTGAAAAATGCTTGAAAGCTTTGAATGATGAATGAATCTTTGAAATATTGATCCATTTGGTAAACTTGTACCACAATAATCATTTGAATGAACCTGGAGTGGATTTTTTAATGAAAGAATATGCCTTACAATTCATATTGGAACTATGCTTGTTAAGATTCTTATGATTTTAAGAAATTCAAATACTTTTTATTTCCAATCTTGCAAACCTCAAGCAAATTTGACAAACTTTGATACCATCTTGAACTTGAATCTTGAATAATGGTATAAACCTTGATTCTTTCCATGCCCGGACACAAAGGATTGAAACCCTAATCTTCTGAGAAATACAAAGAAATAAACTTTGATTTAACCTTGGTAAATTTGAGAATAATAGCCTTGTAGTTTGACGAGAGAGGATATCTAGGATCGACACCATGACATTATAGATCTTTTGAACCCATGTGTCTTATGTACGGAGATAATACTCACGATGATAATGCTTCCAGAATTTTATCAAGAAAGACGTTACACACTTCAGTAATCAAAAACCATGCACAAGAGCTAAAGGATAGGAGAAAACGTGATTCAGTTCGAAACCATTGTAATTCTGAATCTCTTGATGAAACCAGGAATCAGTTAAGGTACCTCGAGGTATGATGATCCTTTACAGCTTGAGAGATCAAAAGATAGAGGGTATAAGACCCTTATGGCACTAATTGGCAATGAAATCATCTTCCATAGCTTGTAGAAAAACATGAGAACCAAAAATACCTTGATCCCATAAAAATGCATTGATGTATATGATGAAACATGAGCCATTAAAATTTTAAAAACAAGAGGGTAAATTTTGGGGTACAACAACTGCCCCTATTCAATTATCTTAAACCTGATAAGTGAGAAAGAGAGACAGCTTTCGAATGTTTAAGGTGGAGGGGGATTGAATACTAAAAGAACCCGAAAGTTTACGCTCTTGAAAAAGAGAGTAAAGCAACAAGGGTGACTGTATTTTTGTAAGGATGATACCAAGCAAACTGGGTGAAAGAGAGGAAGACTAGTGAATATCGAATCTTACCAAAGATAGTCAGATAATACTGGACTTAAGAGATATACCAAGTAGAAATTGGATTTGATTGATGAGCCAAAAGAGATTGGACTCGAAAAGTAAGCCAAGTGGAGATTAGACTTACACCAAGAGGACTAGTAAATGTTAGACTCTAGAAGGATGTAACCGGTGAAACTGGACCGTAGACCACAAAAACGAGATAAAACTCAACTCAAGAAGACTAGATAACACTAGACTCTAGAAGAATGTGCCAGGATAAAACTGGAACACAGATTGAAATAATGAGATAAAACTCAACCCAAGAAGACTAGATAATATTAGACTCGAAAGATACAAATAAATATCAGATCTGAATGGGTATACCAGAAATAACCTGGTCTTGATCAACAAAGGAAAAATGAAAATGAACTTAACCATTAGCATGCTAGTTAAACGCTGGTGGGATCAAGTTGAGGTTATCGAGATAAAACTCGGCCTCCGGGAGTACTATAAAGAATGCGCCCGATAGAAACTGGTGTGCAAACAAGGTTACGAGAAAAAACTCGACCCAAGAGTATCTAGATAAAATTAGACTCTGAAAAAGTACTCGATAAGACATCAATAGAAATTGGGTCATATAGCAAGGTGACAGAAAGTGCGTGTATTTAACAAGACACATGTTGGTCTCAAATGAGGGTAGACAGTAGACGATGTTGAACGAATCCAAGGAATAAAAGAGACAAATGACGAGTAAAAACTCAGCTCAAGAAGACTAGATAATACTGGTCCAAAGATGAGACTTAAAAACGAGTAGCAAACTCGACTCGAGAAGATTATATAAAACTAATACAAAGATGAGTACCATGACAAAACTGGATTGCACGCACAGGTAACGAGAGAAAACTCGACCTAAGAGCAACTAGGTAAAACTAGGCTAAAAATGAATATTTGGGTAAGACTGGTATTCAGAAGGTATATCAATAGACATTGAAGAGAACCAACAAGGATAGTAAAGACTGAACCCGAGAAATCTGTGACAGTGTAAAACTGGACCTTTACCAAAAATAGTGAGTAGACACTCAACCACATATATGGTAACATCAAAAGGATATTTGTATGGTGAAAACCGGAATATTGAGGATGAAGTGACCTTGCTGAGGGATATAATCCAAATTATTAACAAATTCGTTGGGAAAAACAGAAACAATAATCACTTATATTTCAATGCATGTTTGAATTTTATATATATGTTGTATGGAATAATGTTCCAAAAGAGAATAGAAACAAGGATGCAATGTGATTATGCATGATTCTGCTGGAGAAAATGAGATACAAGGAACCGCTACCGAAACTCTGTGGGGGGCAACAAGATGAGTAACTAGTAAATACGGGCTACAAACTATGAGGGGAATTGCAAAAATAAATTGCAAATCCTGCTGGAGAAGATCATATCGAAATTATAAACTCTGATAAGGTACGCCAATGAAAATTGGACATTGCTGGGGAAGACACCAGTAATATGGGGCATGCAGGGAATCAAAATTCACCTCTGATAACTTGGGAAATAAATTGCCAACCTCTCTCCTGGGGATGACAAAAACTTGTATTGTTGGGGATACGAGGATCCAAGCTGGAAATAAGAGAACTTATGCACATAACTCTTTTTAGAAAGGAGGCAATCTTGGAGTAAGAAAACTCAACTGGGGATTTACGAACGATCTTCAATAAGAATGATCCTCAGCGAGAAACCTCGGGTAAAAAGTCACAATAGCGCATTCCTCTAGGGATATGAGACTTATCAACATCCAGGATCAAACTCTACTGGGGAAAAGGAAGAATCCTTACATAAGAACTTTCGATGATACCACTCAGATGGGGAAATGAGAATCCCTGAATAAGAGATCTCAAATAAGGCAACTTAGCTGGGGAGATAACTGACCCTGAGCAAGATATCTCATAAAGTAATCTCTTATGGGGATTGAGATAAGCTTTGACGTGTCTCAGCTGAGAAAAATGAAAAATTCTCAAATAGACTTGGCTGGTGAATGAGAAAAGATTTTCAGTATAAGGAGTCTCAAGATAATTTTCCGATGGGGAAATGAGATAACTCTTGAATAAGAAATCTTCATGAAGAAACTTCGTCGGGGAATAAGAGAAATCTTCTAAGGCAACTCTATAGGGGGAATAATAAAATTCTCAATCAGTACCCTCAGCTGGGGAGTAAGACATATCCGCTTCAGGGAATAGACATTCTCCTATGAATTCAACAATATCACATATCTGAGGATGTAGATTTTTACCAAGAAATCTCATCAATCACAAGCTATCAGACAAGGATTCTCCACTTGGCAATATTAGGGAGAAGAAAACTTCAAGTTTTTCTTGGGAATCATCCAAGAATTTCAATCAGTCAAACTCTTTGCTAGGAGAGACTCACTGGGGAGAAGTAGAAAATTAAGTGTTGTTGGGGAAATAACCCAAGTGATCGTGGGACTTTAAGAGTCTATCGGTTGTATTAACTGCAAGTGCACAGTTTAATCGCGTAGTTTTAAAAGATATCCAACCCATAGGGACTGGTAATCGAAATACTGCTATCTAAAGCTACTGTGTAAAGCTAAGGCTAATAAATCTTGGGTTTTGGGGTATATAAAAAATAAGGTCATACTTAATTGAAATATCTAGTAATGGGACACTGGTATGTAATACGTCTGACTTTGGGAATTCATTAGTTCATTAGCATATTATTGAGTATTTAAAACACTTGTTCAGTAGAAACTATCAGTTTAAAAACCTTTATTTCACACTCTCGTGATTGTTGGTTTGGATTATATAATTAAACTTAAATACTTGCTCTAGTTGTCTCATTTAAAATCCAAAGATAATTTTTAAAAACAAATAGAGTCTAATTAATCGTAAACCACTCCCACTGTATTTAAAACCAATATTTGATGACCACTATCCAGTTAAAAAATCACACTCTCGTGATTATTGATTTTAGCCTTTGTTTTGTCTCTTACTCTCGTAATAAAACAATTTGTATTAAAATTAGAAACCAAACAAGAAAAGTATTTTTATAAAATGTTTATGCCAATTTATTACCGAACTCCTTCGGTTTGTGACCTTACATACTGATATCAAGGGAAATTAGCCGGACATATTATTAATTATGAACACAAAGCAATAGCAGACATATAATAATTCAGGAATGATTGATAAATAAAGAAAAATATTATAATTTAATTAAAAACCTGGAATTAAATAATAGAATGCAATTTCTGTAACTTCTAGTACTGATAGAAATCCTCCATAATATTTTGGCAGGACTTGCTTGCGGAAAACTAGCTTGAACGTAGAAAAATACTATAAAACTTAAATGAAACTCAAGAGGCTATGAAAAGAATCTAATGTTGCAATAGTTTCCTGGTGTAGAAAACTATTGTTATTTAGGTTAAGGTTTTGTCTGTTGAAGTTCTAAACAAAGCTCTGAACTGTGAAACTGGAATAATTGCGTAAACAATGCAAATGTAAAATAATGTAACAAAAACAAGAGAGCTGAGACGAACGGATTCAAAAGTAT